GGGAGGCCCTCATCCAGCAGTGGATACAAGTCACATCACATTTTACATTAAGTAAAATAAACAGGTCAGAGAAGCCAATTCCTCAAAATGATTTGCATACAGTCTTTTATTCAATCCACTGCGAGACGAAGGCACCTCCCCCCCCACCCTCTCCAAGCCGCGTGGGTTGTGTGACCATACTTCACCACGCCGGTCAGTTGTGGACGGCGAACGCGGGGTACAACAGGCGGATAAGTTGGTCTTGATTTGAAGCTTTCGTGACTGCAGGAATCCATACTCTCGGTAAAGTCACCACGTGGGTAGACGGATCATTGTTGATCTGGCAGCACCAAGTCGATGTTCTAATTGCACGTGAGATTGACTGGAGGCTATACCGTGGAGGTATGCCATGGGGATGTGAAAGCATCAATACAAGCTTGCACCACCCAACAAGAACATACTTAAAACGTATTAAACCTACCACCAATGCGAGGCTCTAGTACAAAAATAACTGTGTTCAAGATAAACTCTGGAAACACACTGGTGGATGGACGCGTAGGCCTCCGAAGACCGACACCGGTCTGGGCTGGAAAAGCCGGCCGGGCAAGGCGTCGGAGGCAACCGCAGGGAATGTAGCAGAGACCGGTGCGCATTTAGGCCTCGGGATGATCTCGACTGCTCGAGTGACTGTAACGAACACGATCAAGGAGGCTTGACTATAGACGACTTACCTCCGTATTTTCTTCCCTTTTGGCTTCATGCTCGAAAAGATGCGTGCTTATTCGGCTCTTCGAAACGCAACGTGATGTGGACCCCACACGCCACGCAAAGAGGGTTCGTGGTTTCGTTTTTGAATAAACTTTATCAGTTGCGCTTTAGGGTCCTTAGGCTTCTTTTACAACCACGTGAGAGACCCCCTCCCTCCCCCACCCCCCCCACCCTCCCCACACTCCACCCTCCCCACACTCCACCCCCCCCACCCTCCCCACACTCGACCCCCCCCACCATCCCACACTCGACCCCCCCCCCCACTCGACCCCCCCCCACCATCCCCACACTCGACCCCCCACCATCCCCACACTCGACCCCCCACCCTCCCCACACTCGACCCCCCCACCCTCCCCACACTCGACCCCCCCACCCTCCCCACACTCGACCCCCCTTCCCTCCCTCCCCCACTCGAAGGTGGTACAAGGCGCAGCCCTGCAATTGCTTTGCAAACGCCCCTGCTGGCAGAAGGCTCAACCCCCCAAAGCTGGAGCACGCTCTAGAGCAGTGGGTTCTCAACCAGGGGGCGGGCGGGCGGGCGGGTGGCGAGGGGGGTGTACGTGCGGTGATTTATGAATGTGTGAAATTTATATAGTACGTGAGAGACGATGGTGAATGCATAGGGGCCGTTCATAAATGACGTCACGCACCTGGGGGGTGGGGATCAGACATTTGTGACGATGTGTGATGAGGAGGGGGGGTGTTTGAGAAATGTGACGTCACATCAAAATGCGCAACTTTAAATAAATATAAACAATAGTATTGTTATAACAACACTAATTTTGATTTTCATTATTAACTATTTTATTACTTACATTTACTAAGGTCACCTTTTATTTATTCCATGAAGGAGCATTTTGCTTCTCTATTCTGTGGAATGAATGTGATTGTTATAATTGTACTCTCCATTTTGCTTTGTTCTCCTATAAAGTTTCAAGTATTTTTTATAGTTATAATTACTTTTAATATTTTATAATTATAAGAGAATTTCAATATAAATTTCGATTTAAAGCTTTCGTGACTGCAATGATTCATCTTCTTTGGTTCTTTCGGTAAAGTCACGTAGAATGAGAATAAAATAATAAATTGATAAAATAAAATAACACAATAATATTCTCACGACGTTTCGGCCACAACACAAGCGGCCTTCATCAGGTGAAGGGACGAGACTGTCTGGTAGGACAGCGCTGGAGTGAAAGAGCCACGTTCAGATCACGACCTTTAAGCTGTGTGAGAGGAAACAAAGCGCCTTGAAAAAGGAATTAGCATATAATTTAGCATTGAAATGGCTGAGTGATTAGCTTGTGACTGGTCACAGAAATAGCTATGTTAAAAGTTAAAGCATACACATCCGCAGGGGCACCCCTTGACAAAGGAATTAGCATAGAATTTAGCATTGAAATAGCTAAGTTAAAGCATACACATCCGCAGAGGCACCCCTTGACAAAGGAATTAGCATTGAATTTAGCATTGAAATAGCTGAGTGATTAGCTTGTAACTGGTCACAGAAATAGCTACGTTAAAGTCAGAGCATACACATTCACCGAGGCACTTAGTACAAATCAAACAGGAGAATTTAGCATTGAAATAACTAGGCGAATTTAGCATTGAAATAACTGAGTGATTAGCTAGTGACTGGTCACAGAAATGACTATGTTGAAGTCAAGGCCTACACATCTGAGCTATTCACAGTACTATATAGTGAACCAATAAAAAACTAAAATATAAATTACCTTAATGTTATCAATAAACTCTATATTCTCCAATCAGCTAAGCTACCAACAATAAGTCGTTATATATCACAATGCTATATGGCGAAAAAATGGGTGGATTCTTACCCTCAACTTTAGCACCACGGATAGCTACGGGCCCCGTTCAGACGGACGAGTTCATCCATGGTCGGAACAGAGGAGGGGGAGAGAGACAACTGCGAGGCGCTATTATACTCCATGTTGTAAACCATACCATTAACCGTGGTGTGAGAAGTATTAAGAGTCAATGCTAGCGAAAGAGCTGCGGTCTGAAGGTCATCGTAAAATACAATTAATTAAGAACAGAAATGGTTTAAAACATCTTTCCAATGGTTACTAAGCCAGAATCCATCTTCTCGGTTGAAATTGTCTCTGTGCTTGTATATGTGAATGGCCTCATGAACGAATCTCTCATGGTAGCCGGTTGGTTTGCAAAGAACCTCCGTCTTGGAGAAGTCAATGTCATGTGAGCCCACTGAATTATAACAGTGATCTGCCACGGCAGAGGAGTTCGTCCTACCGTGTTTCAAGTCTGCTTTATGTTCGCGGATGTGGTCCGAGATATGTCGTTTACAAACTAAAGTGCCTCTGTGGCAGTAGCTACATTGGAGAAAGCCAGGTGAGAAGAACCCATTGAGATAATATAAAATATTTAAAAATACTTTTTTTAAACACGCTTTAATGAAATGTAGTCGGAGTTTCCCCTCCCCCTGCCCCCTTCGCCCCTCCCCTCCTTCCACATCCCCCCCCCCCCCTCGGCGTGGCTCCCCCTCGGCTTGCCATAACGTGGTGATTTACAGCCGACGTGAGTTGAGCGTGGAGAATTAGAGCCCGAAAAAAGATTGTTTAAAAATATATATTTTTTAAAAATTTTAATGATAGAATATAGCATTGTCATCAGTATTACATACCTATACCAATTTTGCAGTCGATACGTCATTGGGAAGACGGTTGAAATTGAGTTACAAGATTTGAGGATACGACACCAGACAGAGTGAGTTAAATAAAAACGTGTAAAATTCGTGTATAAAGGAATTATACACCTTTTAGAAACGTGAACCAACAAATATTAAATACAAGAAACAAGGATTTGGCTAAAAAGGAAAACTATTAACGATGAACACAAATAATCAAGACCAATCAGAAACAAACTTTATTTTATTCCAAAGGTAAAATACCGCAAACTCTGTAGCTTAGGCAAACATTTAACACAAAATAATTTAAATTGATTGAATTCATTTCGTATCTACATACAGCGCAGAAAATACAATATCCTTTTTAAAACGCATATTTATAAATCACTGCGTTATCCATTGACGTTCACTAGGGGCTGCGGTGGCGCGCTCATTAGCGCACTGCGACCTGGGTTTGATTCTCGGCCACGGCAAACATCAGTGGCGAGCGATATGTCGGCACAAAAAGATTAAAGTTCCCCCGTGTAGCCTTAACAGACTGCAGGAGCAAGTGCTGTTAGCGAGCACCTACGAAGGCTGACACGGCACACGAGGCGGTGGGGGGGGGCAACACCACGCCCGGCCGCCTTTGTCTCCCCAGTGGCGTCGTTTAGGGGCCGTCCATAAATGACGTCACGCGAATTTCACCCCCCCCCCCCCCGTCGTCACACAGCGTCACAAAAAGTCAGACCTCCCTTCAAATATGACGTCACATGCTTCAAATCGCTTTAAACTATTGTCATTGTAGTGCGTATTTAATGTGGCGCTACACTCTGATGTTGTATAAGAAAACATGTATTAAAAGTCTATTTAATTAAGTAGAACGTGTTGTCTATATTTATTTAAATTTGCGCATTTTGATGTGACGTCACACATCGTCACAAATCTCTGACCCCCCCCCCCCTAGGTGGGTGACGTCATTTATGGACGGCCCCTTACACATCGCACCAGGTACTCATTTGATCCTGAGTCGACATAGGGGAGGAGGCCCAGAACCGGTTCAGGTAATGGTCACTGGTGTTGGCCGTGAGCGGGAATTGAACTCGGGTCGTCGGGTTCACAGTGCAACGCGCTAATTGCTCCTCTACCGCTCCCACAACGCCCACCTTCACACATTGTCAATGACAAGCGTGAAGTATGCGCAAACATTCCCCATGACCGGCGTGGCGTGAGGAAGACATCGTCCAGCAGTGGATTAACAAACGTGTATTTATTATTATTATTATTGTCAGGACTTAACTTTAGCCGCATCCGTCCAGATCGGCAACCACAAAAAGTAATTCTGCCCCTGGAACACCACATCCCGTATGTATTGGGGCGACGTGGTGGCGAGATGTTAACTACCTCGCCTGGTATACAGGAGGTCGTGGGTTCGATCCCGACCCTGACGCCTGCATATATTTGGAGTTTGCATGTTCTCCCCGTGGTTGCGTGGATTTTTCTCCGGGCCCTCTGGGTTTTCCCTTCACACATTTATAAACAAAGCGTTTAGAGTATTCGGCTGCTATACATTTCCACATGATACGCAACTGGTTGAGCTATATAGCTCTGAAAAAGAGCTATATAGCTTAGTGGGCCTTACCTGGTAAAAGAAAAATTGTTTGTTAATGTATGTATGTTGAACTTCTTTCACACCGTACGTAGCCAACCCTGCTAATCCTCGTCCCAGTAGTCCAGTATCCCTCCAGCTATGGATTGTTGCTACGAGTCACGTGCTTAACTCCAGTCTATTAGTGACCCTGAAAATGTTCAGTGAGACATTACGCCCACTACTCAAAACCACCAGGAACGAAAAGCGAACAAAAAAGCTGAAAAGTACAAAAGTTGTGATGGTAAGGACGAGCTATTGGTACAGTATATGGCCATAACACACTGTGCGACCATACTCGAACCCACACTATCCTAACCATGCCACAACTCTAGCCAACTACCCAACCAGACCATGCCACCTACTCTAAGTAACTAGTCAGTTTGTAATATCGCGATCCATTACCAACTATACAACCAATCACTGCCCCTAATGCTAATCAACTATCCAACTTAACCATCCCACCAACTTTAACCAACCATCCAGTTAACCGTAACCAACGATAGAACAAAGCACGGGTAATAGCCCAGACCAGCCACTCGTGCAAGCCTTCCTCTTCACCCCATCTAACAAGGGAACACAACAACTAGCTCTAACCCTAACCAACGTATCAACTCGCCACTTAACTCTGCTCTACATCGGCATGCCACCCATTTTCGCATCTTGATAAATTTTCAGTTTGCGTTTTGTGTTGTTGTTCTCTCTCTGATGTTACTGCTGCCCACTGGCCACCAGCACGAGAGCCGGGGGGTCTGATTGTGTCGCGCTCCCAGGACCAGCGCCGAGGAAAAGTCCCTCGTCGGCCGGCGGCTGCTCGCGCGGTGCGGGTGCCCAGGGGCTGAACAGGCGGTCCCGCACAGAGGTGGCCAGTGCCAGAGCATCCTCGTCCCAGTAGTCGGGCAGCAGGAGGAGCAGGAACGCGGTCACGATGACTCCCATGGCCGCGAGGCGGATTGCGCCGAGGGCGGTGTCCCCTCGACGCACGTCAAGCGCTGTGGTGGAGGAAGAGGAGGAGGAGGAGGAGGAGAATCAGCAGCAGCAGAAGAAGAGGGGGGGGGGAGGGTGAGGATCGGCAGCAGAAAAAAGAAGAGGAGGAGGATCTGGAATCATAATCAGAAGAGGCGGTAGCAGCAGAGGACAACTTCGTATTAGCAGCAACGGCAGCAGCAGCAATTACAACAATAGAAGACAAATATTCATCGTCAGCAGCAACAAATTTGTCAAATTCGATAGATTTACCGGCAATTTTTTTTCTCATTCGGAATATATAGGGTTTCCTGGCTAAAACAAGCATAACAAATAAACACAAAGTCATTCGCCTTCCGTGGAGTGTGGCACGAAAACAAAGCACCTTCCTGATTATGATAAGCAACATTAGCAGTAGCAAATGCAACATGACGACCACACAGCAAGCAGCAAGCAGGATTGTGTGCTGCTCGCTGTCTGCTGCTGCTCGCTGTCTGCTGCTGTACCCGCATTGAGGGGGATTGTGAGGACGACCCCGAGGGAGATGATGCTGGGGTAGGTGAGCGCCACGCCGAAGTTCACGAGCACCGTGAACACTGCGTGGGGTGGGGGGTCGGAGGGGAAGACAAGCAACGATGCAGGGTGAGAAGTCCACGACATGAGACTCATTCAACACGTAGCATGGCCGAGATTATGAATCTCCTCGGCAAAATCACAATGAATCCCGTCGGAACGCGGTGGCTAAGCAGGTGTTCAGACTGGTAAGTAAGTGGATGGGCCAACACCACAAGGTTGTTGAGGGCTGCTGCAGGATTCTGTGATGGGTGGCAGATGGCAGCGCTGCAATAATTATTGTTAAATACTTTCTATGCTATGACGTCTACGCTTACTGCCCCTACAGCCCAGCAATGGCCAGCGTGAGGCCCTCATCCAGCAGTGGATTGACAAAAGGGCTGTACGTGTTCATGCTTTAGACCAGGGGTGGGGAACCTTTTTTCTGCCAAGGGTCATTTGGATATTTATAACATTATTCGCGGGCCATACAAAATTATCAACTTAAAAATTAGCCTGTTATCTTTGGTCAAATATTTAATTGACTCACCCCTAATGCGATGGCTGGAACTGCTTCTCTTCGGCGAGGCGTGTGATGATGTTAGCTGGTATTGACGATGTTGCTACTCGCAACTGCTTTTTCCAGGTTTGCTCCTAGATTTATTTAATTTCGAGTCCCGCCTGCGGTTGCCTTGGCAGGGCCAGACCGGCCGGTGGGCCGAACTTTCCCCACCCCTGCCCTAGACCAAGGGTGGGGGATATATTATTTATGGAGGACCGGACAGGAATTTTACATACATTTGGTAAGAGTCCACACGTTAAACCGAACGTATCTTCAAGAGAGGGTCCTTGCCGTTAAACATCTGGCGATTCACAAGCGAGCCTGGCAATGCTAAAGAGGCTCTTTGTTGAGACTAGTCGAGAGCTTTCTTGTAGCTGAATTAATGCTGCTGAATTAATTCACCCCCAGAAGACAATGGGGGCCTATGGGGGTTGTGCAAAATATATTGTTGGTTTTTTTTGTAAAGAGATAGGCATATGAATGAGTCGTTTTCTTAACTATTAACAGACACAAACACAGCCAAAACCATTTCTGTAATTGCAAGATACCCTTGCAGTGACATAAGTGGCTCAGGATGCCAATATTATCGTTTCCAGATTAAAAACATCCCCCCCCCTAGTATCTGATTAGTGGAGTTACAAAGCTTGCAGTGACATATAAATAATCGTTTGTGGGCCGCATCGAAGTGGTAGACTTCGTGTGGCCGTGTAGGACCAAGCCACTGGCTGCGTACGGCTCACGGACCTGGGGTTGCCACCTGTGCTGGTTTTAACTGCAGCGTCATCAATCAGTTGAAGGAGCTGTCTCGGGAAATCTGTAAGTATTCCCGGTACAATAAAAGGCCCGGTTTCTGTCAGTTAGGTAATAATTTTAATGACACTCCACTCGCGACAATGCATGAGTATGTACTGCAGTCCTTCCCTCTGCAGCTGCTGTGAGCTATCATCCTTAGTCCCATGATATGTCTATTTTATTTGTGTTCCTAAGAGGTGGCAACCCACCGAAATTAGCTGCTTCATCATCACCACCAACAACAGCAGGCGTATCATCAGCGACAGCATACAGCATGTGAATCAGCATCATCATTAACAGTACTGTCAGCAGACAGCAGTAGAAGGTAACGCATCATCAGCAAAAGCACTACAAGATGAATCATTATAATTATCAGCAGCAGCAATCACAGCATCATCAGCAGGCAGTGTGTGTGTGGGTGGCGGGGGGGGGGGGGGGCCTTGCGCTCCTCCCCCCCCGCCCACGTACTCAGGATCAGCGCCGCGGTGGCGCAGAGGTTGGCCCACGCGGTGGCGCCGTGCGGCCACCGCTCCAGGCCCGAGTAGTGCAGCGCGGCGCACACGGACGAGACGAGCGCGGCGTTCATCAGGCCCAGCGCTGACAGGAAGAGAGCGGCCTCACCCAGGCGGGCGCTCCCCAGCACCTTCTTAAAGAGCACCTGGGTGAAGGGGTGGGGGGGAGGGGCGGTGAAGGAGGGTTGAGGAGGAGATGGGATGAGTGGAGGAGGAGGAGGAAACGGGGGAGGAGAATATTTGGAGGAGGAGGAGGAAGAATATGAGACTAAGATGGGGCATGGGAGAAGATAGGATGAGATGAAAAGGAATAGGTGGGGGGCAAGGAAAAGAGGAATATCAGGATGAGACGGCACTTGGGAGGAGGAAATAGGATCAGAGGACGAGGCATATGGGTAGATGAGACGATTGAGGGTGTAGGGAAGAGAGGAGGAGAGGGAATAGAAGGATGGGAGACGGTAGGAGATTATCGGATGAGAGCAGGAGGAGGAATACGTGGAGGGGGGGTGGATGGGGAGGAGAGGGCGAAGGGGGGAGGTGCAGTCGTCCTCAAGCATTGAGGTCACGTGGAGCAGTGGACACCAAACGTGTAGTGTAGACAAGAGGTGAAGAGGGGGGGGGGGGATGGGTGAAGCAGAGAGCACCACAGGGTGAGGAGTTGGGCTCGTACGAGGAGATGTTGGCGAGTGTGGTTAGGCGTAGCGTTGGTGCTAGATGATGGTTGTCTCTGGTTCGGGTTAGCCAATTCTTTTTTTCATCGAATTCGGAAAAAGAAAACTCAATATTTCAAGAGTCGCAATACACGTGTGAATACGAGACGGTGGTCCTTAATAAATACCGTCACGAAAATCAGTCCTGAAAGAGCCGCATGCGGCTCCACGGCCGCTGATTGCCGAGCTCTGGGTTAATTGCTAAGGCTGTGTGGTTGAAGGTTCCGAGGCTACGAAGCTACGCGGCTCTTTAAGCGTTGGGGCAATACACGGAGACTTACTGGGCAATGTTAATGGGCTGGCCCAGACCGGCTTGGCTTTGCTCGCCAGTGTATGTATGTGTAGTGACATAGAATGGGTCACTACATATGTATGGTATACTTATTTCGCACCGTACGTAGCCAACCGTACAAATCGTAGGTGCTGGGGAAGGACAAGAAAACTAAACACACGTATTTTTTTTTACAATAAATTAGTTTGTCAATTTAGATGACGATTTAAGCGCGCATAGCTCCCGGTGGCTTCCAAGTGTCGGAAAGGAAGAGCGTTCCAGACGGCCTGCAGAAGCGCATCCGAGAGCGCGCGACCGTGGTGGTGGTCTCGTGGAAGCGAGGCGAGACCCTGGTGAGAGGGGCCCCGCACCTTGTAGAAGGCAGAGGCAGAGGCGGCGCCCACGGCCAAAGCCACGCCGATGATGGAGTCGCCGCGGAAGCCGTCCGCGTACGCGGTCATCACGATGCCCGAGATGGCGAGGATCGCCGCCACGATCTGCAACCGCGACCACGATCGCAACCACAATCACGATCGCAACCACGATCGCAACCGCGATCATATTCACAACCACGATCGCAACCACGCCCACGATCGCACACACAGCAGCAGTGCTTGCAACGACCACAGCCAAGACCCCCCCCCCTAACAACCCCACCTCAGCGGTCTCAGCCCCCCACCCACTCCCCTTCATTCCGTTTAGCGTTCACCATTTGTGTTGCCGACTATGTCCTGTAACATCCCCGCACATCCCACTGAGTTTACTATCCCCCCCCCCCTCCTTTGAAGAAGATCGCGGTTGTGGTCACTATCGTCGCAATTGTGGCCGCGGTTGTGGCGATGATTGTGGTTGTAAATCACGGTTGCAGTCATGAGCGAGGTTGTGGTCGTAATCCTGGTGGTGATCGATTCGTGATCGCGGTTGTCATGAAAATCGTGGTGATGACCGTGACTGTGATCGCGATTGCAGTCGTGATCGCGGTTGTGACCGTGGTTGTGACCGTGGTTGTGGGGGTAGCGCGCTGCGCTACGAACCTGCCTACTCGAGTTCGATTCCCGCTCACGGTCAGCATCAGTGACTATTATCTGAACCGGTATTGGACCTCCCCTAGGTCGACTCAGCCTCAAATGAGTACCTGGTGCGGTGCGTAAAAAACATCGCCAACTGGAGAGACAAAGGCTGCCGGGCGTGGTGCTGACGACCCACCCCCTCGTGTGCCGTTCTGGCTTTCATAGCCGCTTGCTAACAGCACTTGCCCCAACAGTCTGCTGAGGCTATACGAAGGATCTTTGTCTTTGTTAGTGATTGCAGTTGTGGTTGTGTTGGCACAGTCGGGGGCACAGGCGGTGCATCTGCCACTCATCTCAGCCACTCAAACCCATGGCACCTGTTGGGTCTGCCCCGTGACCTCCTGCCGGCGGGCGTTCGACACTTCACGTGGTCTTGACGTGCACCTAGACTGCCACAGGCGCCGCGGTGTCGTCACCGCCACTAAAGTGGCGAATGGCCGTTGTTGTTGTTATTGTCGGCGGCGGTGGTCGTGATCGAGGTTCGTTACCAAGACCGTCGTCACGGTTGCGACCGCGGTTGCAGTCATTACGACCAGCCGGGCTAGCTGGACACGCGCACGCACGCACGCGCACGCACGCACACGCACGCACGCACACACACACGCACCCGCACGCCCATGAAGCGGTCGTTGAGGACGATCCACGACAGCAGGAAGACGAACGCCTTGTTGCAGCAGAAGAGCGCCGCGGCGTCCGTGGGCGCGACGCGCGCCAGCGCGAGCAGGTACAGGTACGTGGCGCCCGTCCACAGCAGCGAGAAGGGCAGCACGGTCTGCAGCAGCGGCCTCACGCCCACGCCGCCGTCGCCAAACAGGCGGCCGCAATCCCTGGCGCGCGCGGGAGGGGAGCGGCGGTCGGCGCCGGTGTTGGAACGCGCGCGGGGTGGCCGCCCCCGTGCGCCTCTCGTGTGGCGGACATCCGGGGAACACCGCGCACCCACCCCTCTTGGGGTGGGCACTGGGAGCCGGGCATTGGGCACCAGGCACCGAACGCCCTTGCTACGTGGCGCTGGGCTTGGGATGCGAGGCACCAGACACCGGGCACCAGACACCGGGCACCGGGCACCGGGCACCGGGCCCTCTAGGCACCAGGCGCCCCACGTGTGGTGGGCACTGGGCAGCGGATTGTTGAGAACGACGCAAACAGGGACGGCTGTTGGTCTAATATTTATACATTTTTGAGCGGGCGGGGGGGGCGAGGACCTCACCTTGTTCTGGTCACCAAAATGTCCAGCTGTGGTCTATCCCCTGCTAGATGAAGGCACCTCCCATCTCCGCCGCCATCTCTTTAGTTGGTGCTGCATGATTATGATGTATTTGTTTAAGACGTCTTCTTTTTCACGTTACATTTACATTTCCCGTCGACGAATCGGTTATTTTGTTCAGATTAGTGTTTTCTGGCTGTGATTGCTTTGCACGCTGGACTATAATAATGATTTTGGTGACATCACGTGGATGCACTCCGCTGCTCCTGACGCGGTCGTCTGGCTTGACCACGTGATTGTAAAATTGAAGTTGTTGTTCTGCATCTACACCATCAGCCGTACGAAATAAGAATAATAGTCTTATTGTGTGCACTGGACAACGCTCTCCCTGCCACGCAAAACAGCCCTCTGTCTCCATGGCTCTCACCTCTTCATAAACGAGGTCGACTCATTGATTGATTACTTCCCATGAAAGCGGTATCGCTCATTTGATCGATCGCCGAGAGATGAGAGAGGCTGCGCCACCTATCCTCCAACACCCCCGACGGGGATTTGAACTTATGCGGGACCACCCCAGAAGCATCAGTTCGAACCACACAGCACCCCTAAATCACAGACCCGGGGAGCGCTGGTGCCTCTGAGCCTGGTGTGCTTTCCTGAGTTCGACTCGCAGCCACGGCTAACATCAGTGGCACGTGATGTCCGAACCGGTTTTGGCACACCCCCACTCACTTTCATTAATCCACGCTGACTAGCGTGGTGACGTATGGTCAAACAACCCTCATTCAGCCTTCACCCGGGAGTGGACCGGTGACGCGCGCCTGTGGTCCAGCGCTTGTGGGGGCAACAGGGAGGGTTGGTGGGTCACCACCGCACTGGTGTTGTGAAACCCCCTTCCCGTAGGGCGTCGAAGTGGTGCCTTGTCTTGATAAAGGCAGCACAGCAAGTGGACTAATAGCCATGTGTTTCCATCTCTACGGGGATGGAGCGTTGTCTCCTCTCGCACAAGTCGTGGGTTTTTTCTCCAGGTGCAACGGTTTCCTCTCACTTTGTACAATGAACACAACTCATCATTAATTGGCTGAACACATCTTAAAATAAAAAAACCCAACTGTAGCAGCAGCAGGACCTTCCTGGAAAAAAACCTGCGGCTCAGCGCGACTGGATAAATACGTAATTTATTTTGTATTATTATTAGATATGAATCGTGTTTAGACCATAGGGGGGGACACTGTTGTTGGCGAGTTTCCATGGCACCACGGGGATAGCAATTGAGAGCGTTTTATTTATTTAAAGTCTATAAAAAATGTTTTTAACAATCTTCGAATTGTATTGGTGTCTACTATCGTGTTGTATTGTTTGTTGTTGCAATGTTCTTACCCCGGGCCGCTACTGGACATCTGTGAAAAATGATCTTTACGTCTCATCGGATTCCTCCAGTAGAAATAAAGATTCTGATTCTGTCGCGTGAACAAAGAATCCGATTGGATCTCTCCGAGTCTGTGGGTCTCCATGCAAGTCATCGGTGACCGGGCTGAGACCGTCAAACTCACTACACTCGAAAATTGCGTTCAATCACAACGACGTATATCTTTGCAAGTGTTACGGGTTCCCTATTTGCGTCTGCGGATCTCCCTGTAAGTCTATGCGAGTCTATGGGTTTCTCTGCATTGGCCTATGGGCTCAAACCCATAGCCCATACGGTCATCCTCGCAGCAGCGTTTGGCTGGCCATCGAACACAGACGGTCACTGCATCGCGCACTTCCAGGTACGCTTCTACGGCCGTCTGGAACGCTCTTCCTTCCGATATTAGGAAGCCACTGGAGCTACGCACTTTTTAAATAATCTAGATTGAAAACTAATTTCTTTAAAACTGCTTTTTGTGTTTAGTTTGTTGTCCTTCCCCCGCGCCTCCGATGAGCGCTGTTGGCTACGTACGGTGCGAAAGAAGTTCAACGTACACACAAACCATCCTGAGAGCTGGGTTTTAATCGCAGTTTGTGGCTGCCGCACGGATTCAAAGCAAGCATCTCGGCAGTGCCGGCTCGACGCTCTGACCTCTGAGTCATCCGTCCACGCGTCGATCATAACCGGTTTGGTTTTTTTGTTACGTAAGTGAACATCTGAAATCAAATCGAAAGAAAGGGGTCGCATTGCAAAGCGGAAAAACGACTTGGGAAAGAAATCTGATCCAGATTATCCCTGGCCCGCTTCACGGATTGCTACGTGAAAACCAGACAGTGTGGGGAGAAGGCGGCTTAAGCACAGCGATGTAACATTCACTTCAGCCACTTCTCAATGACGAGGGTCATCCCGAACCGTTAAGCCGTCTGTGGATAAAATGAGAATAATAAATAATTAACTACTCAATTACCCGGCGCTCAAGCTGCCAATTAATTACATTACCGGCCGCTTGGGCTGCCGGTCTCAACCGGTGGGTCACGCCGGTTTCGGGTGGACGACGCCGAGCCTGCGGCGTGGATACCGTGCGGGATAAATTTCGATTGTCCGCCGGGAACGCCGGCGCCACGTTGCGGCGACACAAAGAAACAAAACGCGCTCGTGCAACACCGTGAAGCAAACAAACAAACAAACGCCGCGCTGTGTGTATGTGCGCCCGTCGAAATTATTTTTCGCACCGTACGTAGCCAACAGCGCTCATCGGAGGAGCGTTGACTCTAGGTGTGGTACACGTGGATCTCCCCGTGGTGTGTAGCATTAGTAGGCTTGGTTGTGCGGGCCTCAATTGGGGCGTTTGCCGTTCCAGAGACACCCGAGGACCGCTGAGATAGAGGCATCGGTTGGCCGATGAGTGACAACGTAAGTCGATTCTTCCCCACGGTTGTGTGCGCACAGAACAAGGTTATTTGACAGTTAATTGTCTTATTCTTTGGGTCTTTAGGCGAAGTCACGTAGATGGTTCAAAGAAAATAAGAAAAAAACTACGACATTTCGACCACAACGCAAGCGATCGTCATCAGGAGGAAAGAGGAGGAAAGCTACTGAATGCAGACTGTTTTATAGGTTGTAGTCCGAGGGTTGTACTGTGTTAAATCGAACCTGGATCCAGGTTCGATTTAACACAGTGCGTAAAATTTGTGATCTGATCCCATCTGTGAAGGATGTGATCCCTGACGTGCAATACCCCGACGTCTACAAACTAAGCTGTGCATGCGTCAGTAGTTACATTGGGGAAACTAAGCGACGTGTCTCGGACCGTGTTCGTGAACATAAGGCAGATCTGAAACACTGTAGGACCAATATCTCGGCCGTGGCTGATCATTGTTTTAATGCGGTGGGCTCACACGAAATAGATATCTCGAAGATGAAAGTACTTTGCAAACCCACTGGCTATCAACTAATATTCGTTCATCAAGCCATCCACATATACAGACACAGACACAATTTCAACCGAGAAGATGGGTACAAACTTGGCAATCATTGGAAGGACGTTATCAACCAGTTTAAGTCATAACTGGCTGTGATTTCCCTTCTCGTCACCTTGCGATGTTTATTTTTATTTTTTTTTCCCCGTGGCTTCGGCTCTCCGATTTCACATTAACAGGTTGAATTTCTCGGGTCAACGTGGCCACCTCCGGACGCCGACCTCTGCATCGCGGTGACTCTGCGATCTTCCATTAACATTATGCTAATCTCTCACATTAACATGCTAATCTCTCACATTAACATGCTGATATATCGCATTCACATGCTGATATATCGCATAAACATGCTAATATCTCACATTAACATCACTAGCCCTGCCCACTTCGTTGATGACTCTAGGACTACACCCTATAAAACAGTCTGCATTCAGCAGCGTTCCTCCTCTTTCCTCCTGATGACGACCGCTTGTGTTGTGATCGAAACGTCGTAGTTTTTTGTTATTTTCTTTGAACCTATCTACGTGACTTTACCGTTTTATTTTGTTTTATTTTATTTTGTTTTGATTTATCTACGTGACTTGACCGAATAAACCCAAGAGTATTTACCGAAAGACCCAAAGAATATGAATTCCTGCAGTCACGAAAGCTTCAAGTGAAGAGTTAATGGCCATTTTCAACAAAGTGATGGTGGCAGGGAATGCGTCTGCGGTGCCTCTTCAGATCTCTGGAGCTAAGCAGGCGTGAGCCTGGACAGTTCCAGGTTGGGCGAGCAAACACATCGTTGTGCTGCACTCCATGTGCTCTCACGTCTATGCTGTTACCGCAACCGGCACACCACGTCCAATGTACCTCTCGCCATGGCTGTGGCGACCGGTCATCGCGTGCCACTTATTCCAATTCACGAGCGACCCGGCAAATATTCACCGTCAATTATCTACGGGTAGTCCCGTATCGCATACCCGTCGGAGCCACAATCCACCTCGCACCATCTCCGCGTTCGAAAAATCTGGAACTCCACACCCGCCCCGCTCCCACCCGCCCGTCCGCCCGCCTCCAAAATCTGACGACTCACCTGAACGTCTGGAGCGGGCCCCGTGTCCCGTCGGCGTCGCACGCCGCCGCGTGGCACAGGCAGTACGCGGGGAACACGGCCAGGTTCCACGTGGCTGAGAACCAGGCGGCGAGGAAGGGCGTCGCGGGGGCCGCGGCCACCGCGGGGACCGCGGGGACCGCTTGACCCGCGGCTCCTCGCGGCGCGGCCGCGCGGTTCATCTGCGAGGCGCCCGCCCAGCTGGCGGCCACGGCCGGCAGCAGGAGGAGCCCCCAGGCCAGGCGCCGGAGCGCCGACCGCCAGCCCGCGGATCCCTCCGCGGGGTCCGCACGCGAGACGGCGTTGCCGTTCGAGTCGGTCTCGGGGTCGTTCGCCGCAGCCGCCGCCGCCGGGGGTTCTTTGGGGCTCGATTCGACGTCTGCGCAAACGCCATCCGTTGTAAACGACGCCCGGCGTTCTCGCCACAACAGCCCGGCGAGCAACGCCGTTCCCCCGGGATTCATTCGGCCACGCCGCATCCGTCTCGCCCGGGTTGTGCCCGACATTGCCGTTCTGTTCTTGTGTGTGGCGATGGCAGCAGCAGCAGCAATGTGTGCGGAGGCATCGCGCGCTTTCGATTGCGCTTCTGCAGCTATCTGGAACGCTCTTCCTTCCGATATTAGGAAGCCACTGGAGCTATGCACTTTGAAATCATCGTCTCTATTGGAAACTAATTTCTTTAGAACTGTTTTTGTTTAGTTTGTTGTCCTTCCCCCCGCACCTCCGATTAGCACGGTTGGCTACGTACGGTATGAAAGAAGTTCAACATAAATACGCATACGATCCCTACTCCGAGCATGCCTATTGTATCCTCGCGGAAATACAGGGTGCTTCAAAACAATGTTAACACTATTTATGGGACTATCGTTTTTAATGGAAAAATAACGGAATACACTGTAACATGATAACAAATGTTTGTTTATGGCTTCAAAAAAATCAAAGAGTCTCCACTTGTTCGCCATCATTGTCAACGCGTGCCTGGAATCTTCTCTCCAGGGTGTGTCTCCAGAACCCGGAAGCAGCAAATTTCACGTGGTGTTGTTGCAAATTCTCGGAAGCGTTAACATGTTTTTGAAGCACCCTGCACATCGCGTGAGAGATGACGTCTCGTCGTTTAGGGTTCGGTAACCTGCGGTGAGGATCACGACCGAGGAGTGGGGACGAACGTGGCAGTCATTCACGGAAAGGTCACGGAAGATGACCTCTCCACCACGTGCCAGTCACAGAGTATGTTCGGCTGTTACTTCACCGCAGCGGCCATTTCGGCCTTGGTGGACTGGGAATCACACTCAGTGTTCATAGCACAGTTCGCTAACGTCAGAATTCGTGTATGTTGAAAATAAGAACAGGTTTTCCCTTTCTTGCAATACTGCCAACAAAAAGGTCCCATGATTATACCTGCTCACCCAGTGCTATAAATGCTCTGACACGTGTGGTATTGTCTTAGTGCTGCTGTTCGCCTTGTGGCGTTCTCTGTGTCTTACACTGGTGAGACGAGGCCGTGGAGAAGGCTGTCTCTGGTGTAGGCCAATCAGTTTAAAAACACAATGCGAATATGATCACAGAATGTTGTGTTTGCATGTTCACCACAAGTTCGTGTGGTTAATGAAGACTTGGTGACTTGCAAAAGGCATCTATCTCGTGTTTGCAAGAATGGGTAAAACCTATTGTTATTTTTCATTTGTTTAACTTTTTTCGCACCGTACGTAGCCAACCGCGCTAATCTTCCTTTTGCAGTTTGTACCTATATACGTTTTTTAAAAATGTTCGTGGTTTTGCTTACCTTTCCGATATTTTGCACTCCGATCGTTGTTTAAATTGTTTGTTGTCGTAACTTTACCCACCCGCCCCTATTGGACATCTGTGAAGAAAGAGCTTCATAGCTGATCGGATTCCTCCAGGATAAATAAAGATTCTGATTCTGTCACGTCAATAGAGAATCCGTTTGGATATCTCTGAGTCTGCGGGTCTCAATGCAAGTCATGGGTGACCGGGCTGAGACCATCAACTCACTGATTGTGCCACCACCGCTTCTGTGTAATAAGGCAGTGTTAATGACTGCAGTGATGAGGTTAATGACCGGGGTGATGAGGTTATTGTATTTATTTATGTACCTACCCGGGGGCGGAGCGGTGGCGCAACGGTTACCGCACTACGCTATGAATCCGGCGACCTGAGTACGATTCCCGGCTCCGGTCGGTTTAGTTCTCACCTGCCACTGATAAAATCATCGACGTGGCTAAGACATTGAACTCGGAATCGTGCGCTGTACCGCCGCTCTTACAAACATAAACTTAAACAAATTAATGGCATTGTTGTTGATGCTGCTGCTGGTTTGGCAGTGGTGCACAGGACGCATGATTAACAACAACCTCAACGCACTCGTCAACGCGGACTTGAAGAGAAAAAAATATATATAATCGGCTACGTTTCGGGCAATAGCCCTTCTTCATTGCACAAAATAAAGTGTTGGTTAATAAATAAATAAACGCGCCTTGAATGCCCATGGATGACATCACGAACGCATGCACGAAATCGCTGTAGTAGCAGAATAAGTATTTAGGCATTCAAATAAAATCATTAGGAGACAGAAGCACTTAGAGTAATGAAGGCGCTTAGAGGCAGAGGACCTTGACATGAAATCCATTGCGATTCAAGGTGCGTGTGCACATACATACGTGTGTGTGTCTCACATATATACAGACGGCATAGACCACGCGCGCCTTTGTATCTCCAATGGTGATGTTTTACACACCGCACCTGGTACCCGTTTAAGGCTGAGACGACCTAGGGGATGCCCAGGACCCGTTCAAATATTCGCTAATAGCTTCATAACTCATCGAATTTCTCGAGGCTGAATACCGATTGAGATATTTAACTCGGGTCGCAGGGTTCCTGTATGTGGTGTACCTGGTACACCTGGTACATCGCATACACACCTGGCACACCACACACCTGGCACACCACACACCTGGCACACCACACACCTGGCACACCACACCTGGTACACCACACACCTGGCACACCACACACCTGGTACAGCACACACCTGGTACACCACACACCTGGCACACAACACACCTGGTACACCACATACCTGGCACACCACACACCTGGTACACCACACACCTGGCACACCACACACCTGGTACAGCACACACCTGGTACACCACACACCTGGCACACAACACACCTGGTACACCACATACCTGGCACACCACACACCTGGTACACCTGGTACATCGCATACACACACCTGGCACACCACACACCTGGCACACACCTGGCACACCACACACCTAGCACACCACACACCTGGTAGATCGCATATACACATTGGCACACCACACACCTGGCAGACACCTGGCACACCACACACCTGGTACACCTGGCACACCACACACCTGGTACACCACACACCTAGCACACCACACACCTGGTACATCGCATATACACATTGGCACACCACACACCTGGCACACACCTGGCACACCACACACCTAGCACACCACACACCTGGTACATCGCATATACACATTGGCACACCACACACCTGGCAGACACCTGGCACACCACACACCTGGTACACCTGGCACACCACACACCTGGCACACCACACACCTGGCACACACCGGGCACACCACACACCTGGCACACACCGGGCACACCATACATCTGGCACACCACACACCTGGCACACACCTGGCACCCCACACACACACCTGACATGGAGCTGACACACACACACCTGGCACCACACACACCTGACCCAACACACACACACACCTGACACACACACAAACCTTACACACACACACACACACCCCTGACACCACACATACACATACCTGGCACACACACACCTGACACATACACACACCTGACATACATACACCTGGCACCACACACACCTGACACACAGACACACACACCTGACACACAGACACACACACCTGACACACAGACACACACACCTGACACACAGACACACACACCTGACACACAGACACACACACACCTGACACACAGACACACAGACACACACACCTGACACACAGACACACACACACCTGACACACACACCTGACACACAGACACACACCTGACACACAGACACACACCTGACACACAGACACACACACCTGACACACAGACACACACACCTGACACACAGACACACACACCTGACACCACACACACCTGGTGAGCGGGTGAGGCTCAGCACGGGGGTGCGACACGCGCTGAGCGGAGCCACGCGAGCAGATCGCTTCTTCATCCTCATCCACGATCCGGGCCGCTGCCGCGATTCCGCTCCACGTCTCCTTCCCCTTCAGCGGATCCCGCACGCCCCGACCACAACGCACAATCCACACACACGACAAAGATCCCCCATATAGCCTTAACAGACTGTAGGGGCAAGTGCTGTTAGCGAGAACCTATGAAGTCCGGAACGGCACACGAGGGGTTGGGTGGCCAGGACCACGCCCGGCCGCCTTTGTCTCCCCAGTGGCGATGTTTTTTACGCACCGCACCAAGTACTCATTTGAGTCGACCTAGGGGAGGCCCAGAACCGGTTCAGATAATCGTCACTGGGTGTTGGTCGTGAGCGGGAATCAAACCCGGGTCGCCGGGTTCGTAGCGCAGCGCGCTACCCTCTGACCCACACCCCAAACACACAACCAACCTCGCCACACCCAGACTCCCGCACGCCAATCACGCACGAAGCAGAGCCCCCCCCCCCTTCTCCCCGTTAAACCTTTAACGAGATGCTGGGGGCAACTGCTGTTTGCGAGCACCTATTAAGGTCGGCACGTATGGGGGTTGCGCAGGCAGAACCACGCCCGCGCGCCTGTTTCTCCCCAGCGCCGATGTTTACAAACTGAACCAGATAATTGTTGACGTTGCATGCGGAGTCCCAAGACCAGTTCAAAGTTATCGCTCGCCACGGATGTTAGCCGCGGCCGGGAATTCTACTGCGGTGGCTGGACGTGTCGCGTTAACCACTGCGCAGCCGCTCCCCAAACCTACACACGGTCACACCCCCCCCCCACACCCCCCAAACGCACACCCGATTCCAGCACAGCCACCACCCCACACACCACACCAAAATACAAAGATACCCAGTATAGCCCTAACAGACTGTTGGGGGCAAGTTGCTAAAAGCGAGGAGCAGCTATAAAGGCTAGGAAGACACGCAACACCACGCTCGGCCGCCTTTGTCTCCCCAAGTGCTCTTGATCACACACCGAACCAACTGCGTACTCATATAAGGCTGAGTTGACCTAGGGGAGGCCCACAACTGGGTCCACATATTCGTCACTAACATCAGCCGTGAGCGAGAATCGAACTCGGGTCGCTGGGGTCCGTAGCGCAGCACGCTCACCGCTATACATCATCAGGCTAGGCCCCACTGAACAATGTCGCTCTTGTTCAGAAGCGACCTGGCCACAGATGATAGCTCAATGAAGTGGCTCATCACGTGGCAATTCATAGCAGCCAAATACTCAAAAACGCACGTTTCTGAACCACTGCGCCACCGCTCCCCATACACACAACACACACCGAAGACACACGCACAACACACACAACACACACCGAAGACACACGCACAACACACACAACACACACCGAAGACACACGCACCAACCCCCTTGATTTGTCGCAGATGCCGGTCGCTCGCTGCTGCTGCTGCTGCCCGGGCGTCTGTGTCTCATCAATCCACGCAGCTTGGCGCTCAGCGCAGTCGGAATCGGGCCGGATCTAGTAACGAGTCGATCCCCGCGTCTGAGTTCGCCTCCCCTGCTCTGCCCGGGTCTCCGCCTCTCGCTGCCAACGCGGAGAAGAAGATTTAAGGCGTCAGTGAGATTCAAGAGAGCCCGGTGGCATCATCCAAACATCGCCCCCTCTCTCTCCCTCTCTCTACCCCCCCCCCACTCTCTCATTTAATCTCTCTCCACGCTTTCTCTCGCTCTTCCTTTTCCCTGTTGTTCACGCTCGCCTGCGCTTTCCTCTCCCCCCCACTCTCGCATTCAATTTCTCTATTTTCCACTCTCTTCACTCTCACGCTCTCTACTCTCCTTCCACTCTTCTCCCTACTCTCTCTTCCACATTATCTCTCCGCTCCACTCTATCATATCGTTCACTCGCTGTACTCTCTCTCTTTCATTCGCTCTAATTAACTCTGCTCGATGTTTCGAGACTCCAGCTGACTCAATACTCTCTCCGCTCTCTCCCCGCTGGAGCACGCATAACCACACACGTGTCGGTGATGTGCGCGTCTTCTTCGAACGCTGGGGAGCCGGAAAAGCCCTCTGTACTAGCGTGGACGGCATCCTCATGTTCACCTTCTGAAGCGCTCGCTCGTCAACGTGGCGTGCGCGATGAACACCACCACCAAGTGACTTTTCTTTCGTGTTGTGCGCGGTGCTTTTAGCGCCACAGCACGTGGATTTGTAGCGTTTATTTTCATTTTTTCGCTGGTGACTTTGTGTTTTTCATGGCGAAATCGCCTCCAGTGCTTTTGCTGCTGGCGGTAATAAAAGTTGCTTAAAAGTTAAAACCGCTATCACTCCACTATCTCTCATCCCTCAATTCGCTCTCTCTGCTCTCCACTCTCAACCACTCTCCCATCCCATTCCCTCGTCCACACACACACACATCATCTCTATCCGCTCTCTAATGTCTATATGTCGATCCTCTCTCATTCATTCATTCTCTTCCTTACCTCTTTCGTTCACTATACCCTATTTCCCCCCCACTCCCGCCCACACACTCTCTCTGCTCCACTTTTCTGCTCTCATTATCTCTCTCGGCACTCTCCTGAATTCTCCTCCCCCCCCCCCCACCAGCTCTCTACCACGCTCATTATGTCTCTGCTCTCTCATACACCGCCCCCCCCCCCCCCAACTCCTTCTCCCGCCCTTCTCATTCTCACTGCCCCGTCTCGCTGCTGTTCCCATTCATCCGAGCGCCGCGCGTTCAACATCAGAGGCTCCGTGTCGTCGATTCCACCTGCCCAGGGGATTCACGCATTCAGTCACCACCTGCGGGGAGGGAGGTGGGGGAGAGGTTGATGCGAGGGGAGGGAGGTGGGGGGGGGCGACGCAGGTAGGTGGGAGAGACCTGGGCGGGTGAGGGAGGAAGAGAGTTCGTGGAGAGAGATGGGGGGGGGGGAGGTGGAGAGAGGAGGGAGCTATGGGAGGGAGGGAATCGTCACCTGCAGGGAGGGAGGGAAGGAGGGAGGGGAGAGGGGGGTGGAGGTATCATCTGGAGGGAGTGAGAGACGAGGAAAAAGGAGTAACTCAGAATCTGTCTTTATCCTGGAAAAATCCGCGAGCGCTCGAACAACACGAAGCACCAAACGAAACCCGTGGACATCCAGCCGTTCGGCTCTTCGCGTGTATCACGGTAGGCTACGTGCGGTGCGAAAGAAGTTCAGCATACCAGTGCAGTGCATAGATCACGAGACAACAGGCGAAGTCTCCGCGTGCACGGCGCGTCGTTGTCTCGGCGTTAATTGATACCTGGCGCCCAGGTGAGTTCAGCAGCTGGTGGGCAACGGCTCGGGTCGGGGCCGTCCAGCCCCAATGGAAAACAAAAACCATCGCGTGCAGCTCACACACCTACCGAGACAATCCCACTCGCCCGCCCACCGCTAAACGCCATCAATTCCCCTTATCGGATGAGTTGTTATTATGTTGACACTTTTTCTTGTTCACGTGTTCCGTTTTTTGTTTTTTTTACTTCCCACAATTTCATTCCGACCGCGCTATCGGCGTCATGCCGATTAGCAACGGTCGGCTACGTACGGTGCGATAGAAGTTTATCATACATAGGAGCCACCCCCCCCCGCCCCCTTGTAACGTCCCGCCTACCTCACGTAACGTACAGCTTATCCTGGCCACACGTTGGCTAATGCGCCAATGAAATGACGTAAGACAAAACCACGCCTTTCGACGAACAATCCATTCCGAGTGCAAGTGGAACACACAGGTCAGGGGTCCGGGCCCATGTTTAAAGAATAGCCCACGGAATGCAGATACCACAAAAGCACTTCTCAGATTCATTCAAAGTGGGCAGAGGGCAGCGCTTTGCCCACACGCTCCGGCGCATACTTCCTCGCACGGCAGTCAAGTCGATATTGTTTAATTCTAAGAGCCGGGATTTAACCAACAAGGATCTGATGATAATCGTCACTGGTGCTGGCCGTGAGCGGAGATTGATCGCGGGTCGTAGCGCAGCGCGCTAATGGCTACACGATCATAAAAACACACAATTACAAAGACAAAGACCCCCCGTATAGCCTTGAAATACTGTTAGTTACCCACCCCCACACGAGGGAGTGGGTGGCCAGCCGCCTTTGTCTCCTGAGTGACTATGTTTACACACCGCACCAGGTACTCATTTGAGGCTGAGTCGACCTAGGGGAGGCCCAGGTCCGGTTCAGATAATCGTCACCGGTGTTGGCGGTGAGCGGGAATCGAACTCGGGTGGCCGGTTCGTAGCGCAGCGCGCTAACCGTCACCCCACCGCTCCCCACGACATACACATACATGCACGCACACACAAACGTAGAGATACACACGCACACAATGCAATATGCGCATTGCTCGCATTAATAATTGAACGCGTGTAACAATGCGACGCCTCGTCCTGCATTTCGCGCGATTAACGTTAAAGGATTTTTAACGGCAGATGAAAGGGGCCAAGCGCTGGTGTCAACACAGCGCGTGGGCCTCTTGGCTCCACTGCCGCGTGGGTCACGCGAGATGGGCCTTTTAAACTGCACCGGGCATCTCGCCACCGTGGTCATCGTCATAATCACAATCAGCCATGGTCAATCCACCGTTGGATGAAGGACTCCCTCTTGGCTCCACTACCGCGTGGGTCACGTGGAATGGGATGGGTCTTTTCAACTGCAGTGAGCATCTCGCCACCGTCATCACCATCATAATCACCATCAGCCATGGTCAATCCACCGTTGGATGAAGGACTCCCTCTTGGCTCCACTCCCGCGTGGGTCACGTGGAATGGGATGGGTCTTTTCAACTGCAGTGAGCATCTCGCTACCGTCATCACCACCATCATCATAATCACCATCAGCCATGGCCAATCCACCGCTGGGGCAAGGCCTCCCAAAATCCACCACCCCCTAACGAAGCCCTGGAGGGCGTCGTCCTTATTCGTGCCGGGTGAATTCGTGACATCCCCGGGGCCCGTGCGAGCAATCGCGTCGCGCCGCCGGGTCGGCACTTGGACCTCCTCTCACGCTCATTGTGCCGAGCGGCAGCGAAGGGCTCTGCCGTGCAACCGATGCGACCTTGATCGGTGATCGCCCGTGGCCTGCGGCAGCGTTTGTTTAAAGCTGGAAAAAAAAACCTTGATCCGTTTCCATCTCTCCGAGGCTCATCAGCGTGGTTGAGGCCATGCACAAGACACGCGGCTTCACGCAGCTTCTTCTTTCGTACGGCTGATGTAGATGGCAGAGCAACAGCTGCGATTTCACATTCAGGTGATCAAGCCAGATAGCCGCGGCAGGAGCAGCTCGTCGTTGTGATGTCTCCTGCATGCAGCTCCACGCTATTGTGTTTTATTCGCTTGGTGGTGTCACATGAGAACGTTGGATGCCTATTTCCATTCATGTATTTATGCCCTTGCTTCTTTATTGTTACCCACAACTCTCCCCGAATACGGCGCATACTAAATTAGGCAAATCGAGCCTCCGGGGTGGAGCGGTGGCGCAGTGGTGAGCGCGTCTGGGGCTTTGAACCCCCGGTACGGGAAAGGCTGCAGTTGCTGATGGCGTCACCCACATCCTACTGATCATCAGCCATTATCGATCCACTGCTGGATGAAGGCCTCCGTAAGCCGCCACCACCTCTCAAGATATTTGGATGCGCGAACAATCCATGTCGCGCCTGCATATGAAATGTTTTCATTGCTCCATCTCCTCGGCGGACGTGCTCTCCAACGTGTTCCATTCCTTGGCTGCCATTCCGTTGTTATCCTTGACCATCGGCCATAATCATCACTTCTACCCGTGACGTGTCCTGCCCCAAGCGCATTTACAAACTATTTAAATTTTTTCATTTTTTATTTTATCAAGTAAGGCCCACTGAGCGATATGGCTCTTTTTTAATAAGCGACCTGGCCACAAATGGTAGCTCAACGAAGCGGCTCATCACGTGGAAATGCATAGCAGCCAAATAACTCTCAACGCGTGTAGATTTTAAATGTGGAAGGGGGGAAAACCCGGAGAACCCAGAGGAAAATCTACGCGACCGCGAGAAGAAAGAAATGCAAACTCCACATGCACAGGCGTCAGGGTCGGGAACGAACCCACGACCTCCCACATACCAGGTGAGGGAGATAACATCTCGACACCGCAGTTTGGACTGTACAATTATCAACCGTGTGCTCTGTGATCCACGTGTTCTTCTTTCGTTTCTCAACGTAAATCCAAGCACGCTTCGATCGCACACGTGGCAGGTTTTTGTTCCATATTTGTTTTTGTTTCGACCGTGAGCCGTATTCTCCTGATGCCGAGGGGACACGGGCGAGGTTCAGGACCGTGGCTCATGCAAGCTGCAATGGCAGCGCCAGGCGCCCGATCACAGACTTCCCCAGATATTCTGGCCAGACGGAGGAGGTGTCACGGATAGCTGAGAGAACGCGGCAGCCCACTCCCACCGTCTACAACATCCCACGTCGGGGGAAAAGAGAAGGCTTACCCGCAGACTTCGCTCGCACGTTCGGAGAGCAGTGCGGATCTGCAAGGATGAGTGGTGGTCGCTGGTTACCGAAGAGGTGGAAACTTCCTGAGCATCCCGCGATCACAAATCCCAGAAGTGTGTCAACGGCATTGTTGTATTGTATTGTATTGATAGCAGCAATGATAACATAAGGCCAGCAGGGGGCAGTCGAGCATAGGGAGATTGGCGAATTCTCAACGTGAATTCGCGTTTGGCGCACAGACCCAGGCAACGTGCACGTGTGTACCGACGCCCCTCTTGTCAATCCACTGCTGGATGAGGGCCCTCTTCACGCCGCACGAGCCGCGGACGGTTATTTGGCCATACTTTGTCACGAGTGTGTGAAGGTGGGGGTTGGGGGGGGCATAACCTACAACAACCTGCTGTGTATGATGTTCGCTCATCTAAAAACTAAACTGTAAACTACTAAACT